CCTGGCGCTGGGAGTCGTTGAAGTAAGCCGGGACAGTCACGACAGCATCGTTGCACTTGGACCCCAAGTAAGCCTCGGCTGTCTCCTTCATCTTGAGCAAGATCATCGAGGAGATCTCCTCGGGGTGAAACTTCTTCTCTTCGCCCGATGCTGACACAACGATCATCGGCTTGTCGCCCGTTCCTGCCTCGACTTTGAAAGGCCACAATTTAATGTCCGCCTGCACGATCGGGTCCGCGAACTTGCGGCCGATCAACCGCTTCGCGTCGAAGACCGTGTTCTCTGGGTTGCGGGCCACCTGGTTCTTGGCCGCGTCCCCGATCAGGCGCTCGGAGTCTGTGAAGGCGACGTAGGACGGAGTCGTGCGATTTCCCTGATCGTTGGCGATGATCTCGACGCCATCATTCTTCCACACTCCGACGCAGGAGTAGGTGGTGCCCAAATCGATGCCCACCGCGGTCTTCTTCGACATGCGTACGCTGTCTGGCTGCCGCTGGGGCACGAGATTGCTTGGCAAGACTATTGAATCACTCTTGAGTTCAATATTGCTACGGATGATGATAGCGGCCCTTTGATTGAGTCGAGGAAGAATCCCTTCCCTTTGATCCCTTCTTCTGCGGGGGGGTGGCCCCAGGTCAGACCGCGAAGGGGTACTTTACTGGGGGGGAATCCCGGGTCAGCATGCCATCTCACCCAGGGCGGTCCCGGAGCCGGGAGCCCCAAAAGGCCCCGGAGAGAGTCAGCCATAAAAAGGCCCCGGGGCCCGGAGCCAAAAAAAAGGCTACGGCTGAAGATGGCGGCCCTTTCATTTGCCCCCGACAGGAGGGCTGCCCTGGGCGATGAAAGACCAAGCCGAAAAAGCAGCCCGCCGTCAACGACTACGCTCTGATGACTGGAGGACGACGCATGCGCCGACTCCCCCGACTCCCGACGCAGCCGCCATCGCCAATCGCAAGAAAAACAAAAAAAACGAGAGTGCGACACAGATACGCTTTGCAAGGGGAATGGGGCGATGTTCGATCGTCAGGGCCCTCTTGGGGGGACCTCTTGGAAGGGTCTTCAGGCGTCTTGGGCGCCGCAAGGGCCGTTCGAGACGCCCCGCGAGGCATCGGACACCCCTGGAAGCCGTCTTGCGGGTGGTTCGCGACGGTCTTGGGGCGCCTTGACGCCCGTCGGGTCGCTTTAAAAAGGCGGGCGTGGCCCCTGGGCCACCTATCTGTGGTCGAAGTCGTGGCCCCAGGGCGTCCGGGCCCGGTCCCCCGTTAGATGTGTGTATGCGGCCTGACTGTGCGGCGAAGGTCTACGACGCCGAGGGGACCGTTCAACACTGAACGGGTGCAGCTTCAGGTGGCGCAGATCGTGCGGCATCGGCCCAATTTGGGCCAGTATAGGCGTTGAATCTTCTCCTCACCACGCTCCAGCTCATCTCCCTACTCTTGCCCCTGGGGCGGTCGAGAGGCGGGGGCGAGAAAGATGAGGAGAAGGAGGTAAGACGGAAGAGGAGGAAGAGGAGAAGGAGAGGAAGAAGGAGGAAGAGAAGGAGTTGAAAGGATGGAAGGGCAAGAGGAGGAGGAGGAGGAGGAGGAGGAGGAGGAGGAGGAGGAGGAGAAGCAGGAGCAGGAGCAGGAGTAGGAGTAGGAGTAGGAGGAGGGGGAGGAGGAGGAGGAGGTCGAGGAGGTCGAGGAGGAGGAAGAGACGGACGAGGAGGACGAAGGGGCGGAGAAGGTGAAGGAGGAGGAGGAGGAGGAGGAGGAGGAGGAGGGGGAACAGGAAGGGCAAAAACCGCAACAGCTGGAATTTGAGGCGGGGGAGGAGGGGGACGAGGGAAGGAGGATGAGGAGAGGGAGAAGAGGAATGATGTGAAGGAGAAGGAGGACGGCGAAGACGTCAGCGATGTGGGAGGACATGACATAGGAGCAGCTGCTGAAGCAGCAGCAGCAGCATATCAAGGGGACGAGAAGGAGGAGGACGAGGAGAAGTAAAAGGAGGAGGAGGAGGAGAAGGAGGGAGGAGCAGGGAGGAGGAGGAGGAAAAGGAGGAGGAGGAGGAGGAAGCAGGGAAGCACGGAAGAGAAACCGTCTGCTCACAAACACCACTCTATGGCCTCAGGAGAACACGTAGAGGACCACGCCGAAGGCGAAGTCCATGGCACGGCGGGGGGGGGAGGGGCAGGCGGCCTCGCCCCTGCGCGGGGCAAGGCATCATCGCCGACCCTCCCGCTGCTTCCCCCGCCGCGCACCGGGCTGAGGAGCGCCAGGAGGACCACGTCCAGCCGGCGAGCTCCCCAGCGACGACGACGCCGCTGTTATCTGCCTGCGAAGCTCGTCCGCGTCGACCGTCATCAGGGCGGCCACGACCTCGGCGTCGGGGTCCACGCCAGCCATCTTCACGGCGCAGAAGCGCGCGACCAGGTCGCGCAGCTCCGCGTCCGAGCCCGCGGCAGGCGGCGCAGCAGCAGCAGCGGCAGCCGCCCCTCCCCGCACGAGGCCGTCGGCCCAGCGGTCGTCGTCCATCGCGTCGTCGCCGTCAGCATCGGCCTCAGCCTGCGGCGGCAGCGCGGCCAGAGCCCCGGCCGCGCGCTCGCCAGCAGGCGCAGCTTCAGCGCCAGCGCCGTCCCGCCGCCGCTCCGCGAGGCGTTGGCGGCGTCGTCGCCGCCGCTCCACCCAGGCCACCGAGCGGGCCTTGGGAGCGGCAGCGCCTTCCGTGGCAGGGGCCGCGGCTGCGGCCGCGGGCGGCGGCGCGGCGGCGGGCGGCGCCTCTCGGAGCGCGAAGAGCGCTGCCGAAAGTGCCGACCGCGCCACTGCCGCCACCGTGCGGCGCGGCGCGCGACCCTGCACGGCTGCCCGCACCGCCGCCTCGACGAGGACAGCGGCGTCGGCAACCCCTCTAGGCGCCTCCATCCCGCAGCGGCCCCAACGCGGAACGAAGGGGCGGCGAAACGACGGCGCCGTGCGACCGCTTGAGCCAAAATGAGGAGAGGAAGAGGAGGAGGAGGAGAGAGGGAGGAGGGAGGGGGGGGAGGGAGGAGGAGGAGGAGAAAAACGAGAAGGGAGGAGGAGGAGGAAGAGGAGGAGGGAGGATAGGAAGAGCAAAAGCCGCAACAGCTGGAAGTAGAGGAGGGTGAGGAGGGGGACGAGGGCAGGGTGATGACGAGGAGGAGGAGGAGGATGGAGGAGGAGGAGGAGGAGGAGGAGGAGGAAAGATCAGGAGGAGGAGGGAGGAGGAGGAGAAGGAGGAGGAGGAGAAGTAGGGCTGGACCTAAACGTCGTTGTTCGCTTTGGCTTCGTTTTGTTGATCGTATTGCTCTACCTGTTTTCCTGTACCTCCCTTCCAAAACGAAGAACACAACACAGTCGAAGTCCAGCAAAACAGCGTTTAAGTCCAACCCCGATGAGAAGGAGAAGGAGGACGGCGAAGACGTTAGCGATTGGGGAGGACAGAGCGGAGCAGCTGCAGAAGCAGCAGCAACAACATATACATGAGATGGGAAGGGGAAGACGCGGAGGGGGAGGGCGGTCGAGGGAGAAGACAAGGAGGTCGTCGACGACGAAGGAAGGAGAAGGAAGGCATTTTGACACGTCTTGGGCGCCACTCGGGGAACTTGGGGGGGCCTCTGGGGTGATTCTTGGGAACGCATTCGCGCGGTGCAGGACACACGTACGCAGGAAGGCCTCTCCTGCCCTCTCTTGGTTCTGTTGGCTCCATCTGCGCCGTCCTAGGGCAGACCGCTCGAAATGTTTGCTCGTGCTCCCTCCCTCCGGCCGTTCTTGGGGGCCACCTCGTGTGCCCTTCTTGGAGCCGTCTTGGTCTCCTCTCGGGGCGCCTTGGGGCCCTCCATGGCCTTCTTTGAGACGACCTGTGGTAGTTTACGGCGCTTCTTGGGCCGTCGTTGGCGCGCCAGACGTGTGGAAAGTCGAATGCCACGAAAACCTAAAAAACATATGAAAATGCGGATGTTCGCCTCCCAGCGAAAATCAAAGTTCTCCTCCTGCGGTCTTGCTGCGGCAACCTGGTGAGGCCTCTTGGACAGTCTCATGGGCCTCTCAGGGCCACCTGGGAGCACCTTGGGCCAGCATCTTTAAAGGGGCCCCAGGACACACAAATACATACACACTAATAAACATGTTCCTCCTATTTTCCAGTATTTTCGGGGTTTCTGTCTTCCCCCCCACTTCCCATGTTTTCCCATATATTCTGGGGAATCGACGATTCATTGTCTGTGTGTGTCTTTCCCTCCTGAATCTTCGCCTGTGGGGCCCTCTTGGAGCCCTCTTGGGGGGCCCTCTTGGGGCCCCTCTGGGCCCCGCACTTGCGGTCGGAGGGCCCGGCCCTGGGCCCCCGGGGCCCGGTGCGCCGCTCCACGTATGTACCCGTCGGCTGGAAGCTGTGGGCAGACATGTGAGGTGGGAAGGCGTCGAGAGTACAGTCAAAAACCACCGGTCGGAGGAAGTAGGTCGAACCAAACATGAAGTAGGGAGGCGTTGAAAGTAGGTTGGGTGTCCGCCCGCCCTCTAAGAGGACGAAAAAGGTGAAGTCGATCACATGAATAAAAAGGTGCCGAAAGTATAGCGGAACCTGGAGCTCCAAGAATACTTACAGTCAAAAACCCTGATAAGGACGCGCGGTAAGGACGCAAGACCCTAGCCGAGGTTGGGATGTTTGGGGCGGCGGACGACGAAAACCTCAAGGACGCAAGAGCAAGGACGAGCAAGGACGCAAGGGTACCCTGAGCAAAGGCGCGCGTCCTTATTAGGGCTTTTGACTGTAGATTGGGGCTCCGCCCGCCTCCCGAAGGAGACAGGAAGAGGGGAAGCCTCTCGACTCCTGAGGCAGGAAGGCGCCCAAAGCAGGTTGGGGTCCGCGAATCAAAAAAAAATCCTTTCAAGGACCAGCGTCTTTGACATTTTTCGTTGCTCGAACAATGATCGACTTATGATGTAAAGATCCATCTTCCTCCTCCTCCTCCTCCTCCTCCTCCTCCCTGGGCGTCGGCCGCGGTCGTCGAAGATCGCACACCTGCCGTTGGCGGACTCCCAGTCTCCACGCACGCCGTCCTGTCCAGGGAGCAGCAGGAAAGCCTCTGAGATGGAACTGCATCAATAGAGCCTGTCCTGCTCGACAAAGGACTGTCAACACGACGACGAGACACTGCAGCTTACTCCAGACCCTGCGCCCAAAGCTGGGAAGGTGGCGGGACCGCCGCAGGAGGCAGCGCACGGGATGGCGCAGGCGGCAGCGAACAGGGAGAGTGCTGGGAGAAGGTGACAATAGAAGGGGCTGACGTGCGAACAGCTCTCGCAGGTGGGCAACGACGCGGCTCTCAGCCGACGGCTCTCGAACGCGACTGGGCGAACTGTCGCCACAAAGCAGCCTTCGGGGCATCGAGATGGTACCGATGCCAACGGGGAAATCAAAAGGTACCGATACCGCCGGTCCTCTCCCGGGGTGCGCTCTGACCACAATTTCGAAGCGGATCCAGCGGTGGCGACGAGGGCCTCCCAGGAGGCCCAAAAAGTTGGAAAACGGGCGGAGGGTGGCGGTATGAGTACCTGTTCCAGACCCCCGAGGTAATGATTTTGTCATGACGTCGACCCCCAGAGGTCTCGACCCACTCCCTGGGACCGGTATCGTTGTTTGGCGGTCCCGAGGCCCGCTGAGGGCCCCCTCAGGCCGGAAATGGCGACAAACCTCCCGTCGTGGTTGTGTCCTGGCCCGAGGGGGTCTGGGATAATCAAAAATAATTGTTTCTTGCCCCCCCCCGCCCCCCTGGGTGGTTTTGTGATGACTGAAGGGGCCCAGGGGTACAAAATGAATACACACAAATAAAACGATGCCTCATATTTTCCCGTATTTTCTGGGTTTGTGTCTTCCCCCCCACCTCCCATGCTTTCCTACATTCTCTGGGGAGTCGACGATTAATTGTGTCCGTGTTTTTTCCCCTCCTGAATGACCCGAGGGGGTCTGGGCGCTGCCCTCTCCGAGCCAGCGCCTGGCTCTCGCACGGCGGCACGGCGCCCCGCGAGAGTCGCACCTCCACAGAGAGCCCCTGCCGTGCGCGGCATACCCCGACGGGCAGCGCCCCGACCAACTACCAAACCTGCCCCTCCCCCTCCTCCTCCTCCTCCTCCTCCTCCTCCGCCACCTCCTCCTCCTACGCCTCCTCCTCCTCCTCCTCCTCCTCCTCCTCCTCGTCCTCCGCCACCTCCTCCCCCACCTCCCCCTCCTCCTCCTCCTCCTCCTCCTCCTCCTCCTCCTCCTCCTCCTCCTCCTCGCTCCTCGATCCTCGCTCCTCGCTCCTCGCTCTCGAGCCTCGCCTCCTCCTCCTCCTCCTCCTCCTCCTCCTCCTCCTGGCCATCGCTCAGACGTCCACTCCCTGTGTTTTGTTCGGTTTCGTGCATGATTTGTTCGCCAGAAGATCAAGGATGCTCCTCGATGGTCCTCGCCGAAGGAAAAATGCACACGTCCGAGCGATGCCAAGCCTCCTCCTCGTCGTCCTCAGCCTCCGCATCCTCCTCCTCCTCCTCCTCCTCCTCATCCCCCACCTCCCCCACTTCCCCCTCCTCCTCTCTCCTCTCCCTCCGCCTCCTGTTCTTCCTCCTCGCTCCTCGATCCTCGCTCCTCGCTGCTCGAGCCTCCTCCTCCTCCTCCTCCTCCTCCTCCTCCTCTCCCTTCTCGTCCTCCTCCTTCTCCTCTCCAACCCTGCCCGAAGATATCCAGCCGGTTGGACTCGAGGCGAGAATGGGCAACCCCAACACGTTATTCCCGGTGGGGGGGGGCTTTCCCGACCGCTGCCAAGCAAGACCAGTTCCGCGCACCCCCTCCTTAATCCGAACTTCTGCTTTGTCGAGTGGCCTTCGTATGGCGACGAAATCTATCCGACTCTCTCCTTTGTGTTCATTTCTCCTTCTCTCTCGATGTATATATATATATATATGTGTGTCTATATCCATACCCACCGGTCGGAAGAAGTAGGTCGAAACGTGAAGTAGGAAGGCGTTGAAAGTAAATTGGGTGTCCGCCAACTCCCCAAGAGGACGGAAAATATTAAGTCGATCATTGAGGTAAGAAGGCGCCCAAAAAATAGCGGAATTTGGAACTCAAAGAATACTTCCTTTCAACGACCGATGGGTACAGTCAAACACCCTAATAAGGACGCGCGGTAAGGACGCAAGACCCTTGGAAACCGAATTTGGGATTTTTGGGGCGGCGGACGACGAAAACCCCAAGACGAAACCAAGGAAGGACGGAGACGCAAGAGCAAGGGAGAGCAAGGACGCAAGAGTACCCTGAGCAAAGTCGCGCGTCCTTACTAGGGCTTCTGACTGAAGATGTAGATACCCACCTCTCCCTGGCCAGGCCCACCCTGCATCCCGCAGCGGTGTGCACGCCACGCCCTCCTGGCTCGACCAGGAGGGCGTACACCGAGGGCACCTCACTTCGGGCTTCGCGCTGAGCCGAGCGCGAAGCGCGAACAACCTCGCGCTCTCGCGCCTCCCCCCAAGGGGAGAAAAAGAAGAAGAAGACTAATAATAAGAAGACGAATGATCATAATCACACTAATAACATGAAGAAAAAGAAGACTCGGCATTGCGCTGCATGTCTGATGTCTCATGCCTGCTGCTGCTGATCGGAAACCTACAGCATAGAACCTCTGAGAGTCGCACGGTCGAATGAAAATGCTCGAGGTCAGGGCAAAGCGCACCGTGCAGCCACGCAGTCGAACGAATGCGAGACCGATCGCAGGACGTGAAACCCGTGCGCGCGGGAGGCGAAAACCTCCCGGGCCCCGCAGGGGCCGATGCCTCCAGGACTGTGTGCCCCAGGCGGGCCCCTGGTGTACCGAGCATACCCGAATTAGGGCCAATCCCACAGCAGGCAAGCAACGACAACAAACAGGGACGACGCGGCGAGAGAAGCGAGGCGGAGGAGGAAGAGGAGGAGGAGGAGGAGGGTGAAGAGGAAGAGGAAACGCCGAAACGAAGTCGAAACGAAAATGGTCCACGAGATCGCCAAAACACCGTCTCGGTCGAGGCCTGGAGGCGGATGAGCGTACACAGCTGCCTTGAAGGGCCCGGCCAGGGGGCAGTGGACATGTATAGATCTGGATGGCCGCCCGACTTCGGGGAGCCTCGTGGCTGCTTTTTTAAATTCCATGAGTAACTACGGCACGTGAAAACGACCACTGCCACTGCTTTTCTTTTGTTGCCGCCTTCCAACCAGCAGAAACAAAGCAGTGGTTGTGGTCATGATCGTGAAGCCTGGCACCAGGGAAATGACCACAACCACTGCTTCTTTTTCGGCCTGCTGGAAGGCGGCGCAAACAAGAAACAATGTCTGTGGTCATTTTCCCGTCCCGCAGTAACGGTCGCTACTCGGGGGGGGCGTCGGGCGGGAGGGTCACGGCAACGGCGGCTGCGGCGTGCACCCGCCAGGGTGCGCCCGCGCCACTGGCGCATCCATCGCCTGTGTGCCCCATGTGGGGCAGGTCCAGGCCCCCCCCCCAGTAAGATCGCTGGCGTTACCCAGGGGGGGGGGGAGGGCCTGGACAGGGTCCCCAGACCCCCGACGGGACGGGTTTCTCATTATGACTCGTTTCTTGCCGGTCCCGAGGCTCGGTGAGGGCCGAGGGGGTTTGGCTTTCCCCCTCCGCGCCATCGTGAGAGCAATGAGGCAACGAGCGCGACCCGGCCCGAGGGGTCTGGGCCTCCATGGTTCCTGGCCCGAGGGGGTCTGGGCAATGAGCGCGACCCTACGGATATCCGTACAGACTCTGTCGCCCGGCTTCGGGGAGCCCTGGGGCTGGGTGGGGCCCGCCCTCACTGTCATATAGGTCGGGCGTGGCCTCCGACAGGTGGACCTTGGAAGACAAATCAACAACTGTCAGAAAATACTCCAACATCCCAAACCACCGACGTCATGATTTTTTCCATGACGTCGACCCCCAGGAAGTCTGGACCCATTCCCCGCGACCAGTTACTCATCCTGCGTCGTTTTGTTGACGGCCCCGAGGCCTGGCAAGGGCCCCCAGAGGCCGAAAATAGCGAAAAACATCCCGCAGTGATTTCTTCATGGCCCGAGGGGGCTGGGATAGTCAAAAAATAAAAGTTTTTGCTCCCCCCCCCCCTGGTCGAGGGACACACCCGTCGGGAGCGGCCAAGAGGGAGGTGTCCAAGAGGGGGGGGTGCAAATCATGACCGGCGGCATGTGCGCGGCCCAGCGGGGGGGCCCAGGGACGTAATGAAATAAGAAGAGGCGCCATGAAATCTGGGGAAATATCATGGCCCCCGCCATGATATCCACCCCCCTTAATCATTTACCCCCTCTTTTCCGGCCCCGAACCCGACTGAACCCCACTGGCGCTCCGCGAGCGCAGGGCGCCCCCGCCCGGAGGGAGCTCCTCCTCGGCGCCGCAGGAGCTCGGCCCCGGGGCTCGCCCCGCGCCCGCGCCGGCGTCGCCCGCGGAGCCCTGGGGGGGCGGAGTGCGGGGGGCGCGGAGGCGAGGGGGCCACGCAAGGGGCGTCCACTTACGCTGGAGCAGTGGGGGGAACACACAAAAGGGGGGACGGCAGTAGGTGCAATAGTTCGCTTGCCCGAACTATTGCGCGCGAACTGTTGCGAGGGGGCACGGACTAATTATTGCAAACCGCCTGAACTAGTGCGCACGAAACAAGACGAAGCAAACCCCCTCGGGTCATGAAAAAATCAGGACGGGAGGGTTCTCGCCACTTTCAGCCTCTGGAGGCCCTCGCCGGGCCTCGGGACCGTCAGAAAACGACTCAGAGTGAAAAGAGGTCGTGGGGAATGGGTCCACACCTCTGGGGTCGACGTTGGAGGAAAACAAAAAAATGGCGCCCGGGGAAGCCTTCATGGAAATTTTAAAAAAATCCCACCTCAGGCGGATTTTGGAAGACAAATTAAAGAGATATGCAAAAAACAAACAAAGTTATCACACAAATGTAAAAGAACCGTGGCCAACCTATGTTTTACTATTTCCGAATATTCCTGTAGAGGGACAGGCCCTTTACTAAAGGTAGCCCTGGGGGCGGAGGGCGGGGGCGCGAAAGTGAGGGTGCAACGCGAGGGACGTCCATAGGCAAGCACGTCCCGCGCCTCGCAAAAGTAAAACTTCTCGCAAGTGGCCTGGGTCCGCTGTGGGGGATCTCCTCCTCCTCCTCCTCCTCCTCCTCCTCCTCCTCCTCCTCCTCCTCCTGCCCCCCCCTCCTCCTCCCTCCTCTTCCCCCCTCCTCCCTCCTCCCCCTCCTCCTCCTCGTCCTCGTCGTCTTCTTCGTCCCCCTCCTCCTCCTCCTCCTCCTCCTCCTTCTCCTCCTGCTCCTCCTCCTCCTCCTCCTCGTCCTCCTCCTCCTCCTCCTCCTCCTCAAGACTCAAAACCCAGGGGGTCCACTGAAATTCTGAAGAAGAGTGACGCCCGCCTGGCACAATCGCGTGGTTTCAAACTCGGGATCCTGGGAAGGAAAATCTACAAACCCGACGCACATTTGCGATAATAAGGATAACTGCTCACCCCTGTCGGTGGCACCTGGCCAGGCCGGCACTCCCGAGGGAAAGTAACCCCCTTGCGGGGGCAAGCTCCTGCGGCGCAATGTGAACAGTGTAGTTCAGATACCCTTACCCCCCGCCGCACCGTCCGCGTCGAACGACGACGACCCACCCCTCCCCTTACTCTTTTCCTTCCCGTTGCTCCTGCGTCGCGACTGCGACGGCATTGTAATTGCAGGAGTCGTGGTCAACCGTATGCCCTTCACCATTTAGGTGTGTCACCTCTCGCTTCATCCTTCTCGCCTTGTTTCTCCTTGTCCCCCATCTTTCCCGATGCTCTTGCGCCCCGCTGCCGTTTAGGGCCCTTGAGCCAGGGCGCCCTCCCGGGAAATGATGCGATCCTCGATCGACGAACCGATCCGAGATCGACATAGTTGGTAGCGGAGCTACGGCTCCACGGACTAGCGCGCGCGGGGGTCCCAGATCGGCAGATCGTCATCGGCCATGACATCCGCCATCTTCGAGGGATCTGGTGTGAAAGCCTGCCCAATAGCCGGTCCATCGCAAAGCTGGGAAAGCTATGAAGAAGACCTGCAAGCATGGCATCTGAGCACCGAGCTGAAAGCTACGACTATCGGCCCCCACGTAAAGTCCAGAGGTTTTTCTGCGAACAACACGTTTAAAAACCAAGCCAAGCTATTAGACATGAGCCGTCTTAGTAGCGACCCTGTAGGCGAAACCGGAGCAACTGGGAAGTTAGGTTTCGATTACTTGGTAGAGTTCATGCAAACAGAAAACAGAACAAAAGACGACGTAGCTAAGATCATCCGTTTTGCTTCCTGGCTGGAGTTGAAGCGGGGTAACCAGAAAGTAGAAGACTACGTGAACGAGTCGTTCCGCCTGCTACAGGAAGTAGACCAGGATAGGTTCGTTGTCTTAGAGGGTTTTGTGAAATCGTTGATTATGATCATCAACGCACAACTCACGCAACAACAACTGAGCAACTTGTCGACGAGACTCGACTTGGACGCCACTCTGACTTTAGCTAAGACCAAGAGTGTGATCCTTAAAGTACTAGGAGACAACCCTTTAGCCAAAACGGCGGAGCACCAAGGCTACGAAGCCTGGGAAGACTGGCCTTCAGAGGGCTTTGAACAAGACTGGGACGAACAGAGCTGGCAGGAAGCTAGTTGGACAGAAGAAGCAAACTACGGCCAAAAAGGCTGTTTGCGGTGTGGCAGTCCAAGCCACTGGGTCGACAAATGCCCACACCCGCCGAAAGGAAAAGGCAAGGGCATTGACAAGGGCAAGACTGGCAAAACGCCTTTGGGAAAAGGCAAAGGAAGCTGGTCCAAGGGCTACTCGAGCGGACAGCCGAAGCCCGCGACGAGCAAAACCAAAAGCAACAAGAACAAGGGCAAATCCCAGGCAGGGAAGAGCCAAGCAAATGGAAAATCGTCATTCGCTTTCGCCGCCGACGAGTGGGAAAGCTGGATTGGCGGTTGGTCCGAGAGCCCTGACTGGGCCGCAACGGACTGGAACTACACGCAGCACCAGGACCCGGATGCGTCCGCAGTCCTCGCGTGGTCGTTTATGGCTGCTTCTGCGTCTGGACCGCCGTGCTCGGGCTTCCCAGCCGGTGGAAAAGGCAGCAGCCAACCAGCGTCGTCGTCAGCCTCCTTGTCTGGACCGCCGTGCTCGGGCTTCCCAGCCGGTGGAAAAGGCAACAGGCAACCAGCGTCGTCGTCCTCGGCTGCCCCTTCGTCTGGACCGCCGTGCTGGAGTTTCCCGGCTGGTGGAAAATACAGCAGCCAGGCAACGTCTTCTGGACCGCCGTGCTGGAGCTTCCCGGCTGGTGGAAAGGATGACGCTTGCGCCTCGTCCGTAGTGCCGCCTGTGGCTGCCCACAGCGACGGTTGCCCGCGCCGCGTCGTTCAGGTCAGCTGCTGTGACAAAGTGATGTCGCAGTACAAGTGCATGTACCACACCGAGTGCGGCAACGCGTTCTTCGCGTGCGAGCCGTGCACCCCAGTGGACATGGGCCTCTGCGAGCCGTGCTGGTGCTTGGGCCTTGCCCCAGAGAAGCGCGGAAGCGGCGGTTACGACGACGAAGACGAAGACGACTCTGAGCACGACAGCGACGACAACGACGACGGTCGCGACACCACGCTGGAAGAAGAAAAGGGCGGAACAGCAGCAGCTTTGCCGGCGACCGTGTTAGAAGACAGCATGCACGCAGACATTGGTGACCACGAGGCCATCATAGACTCTGGTTGCTCCAAGGGCATGGTCAGCAAGAAACGCCTGGAAAACTTCAAAGCCTTGCTTCAACAGGAGTACCCCGAGCTCTACGCGAGCGAAAGGCCGTCGAACACGAAGTATCGGTTCGCTGGTGGCGACCCGAAGACGGCGGAAGCCGTTGCAACCGTACCTGTCCAACACCTGAATGCCACCACAGAGTTCGAAGTGCTGAACACTGGCCCCGAACAGACAAAGGCCACGCCTTTCTTGTTGGGAAAGCCGCAGCTAAAGAATCTGAAAGCAGTGATCGACTTCGAGAAGGACACCATGTACTCGAAAACCACAGGCACCACTGTCCAACTGAAAACTTCGAGTGCGGGACATTACCTGTTCCCTCTCATGTTGCTCAACAGTGTTGCCGCGGTAGCAACAGAGGCACATGACTGCGATTTTGCGCCTCTTAGTGACGCAACAGCTTTCGAGACTGTGAACGTTCAAGAGCACCCGAGAGCCTTCGCGGTGTCTCTTCCGCCGCGTCTGGAGCAACTTCGCGCCGACCTTCAGACGGAAGCTGGTCTCAAACGGATGCACGACAAGCTCGCGCACCCGACCGTGGACCAGTTGATGCGACGTATCACTCCTGCCTTGCTTCCCGAGACAGTGCCACAGGTCAGAAAACTTGCCGAAAAAGTCACGAAGTGTTGTAAGATTTGTGACAAGTTCCGTAAACCACACGCGCACCCAAAGACTTCTGGCATGTCTGCGAGAAATGTAAACGACCTTGTGTGTATTGATTCCTTTGAAGTGTCAGTATGCGGAAGCAAGTACATCTTTCATCACATGGTCGATTCTTTCTCGAAGTGGTCGCTCGCGGAGTATACGTGCACCCGTGCGCCTTCTGGAACGCTTGCTACCCTCTCAAGGTGGCAGTCGGTCTACGGATGTCTCCCGCGCAGCGTTCTTACGGACAACGGCGGCGAGTATCAGAACAAGGAGGTAGAAACGTTCTTGATGCATCACGGCACAAGGCATTTTTGGATTCCTCCTCATACTCCCGCCTCTGCGGGCTTAGTAGAGCGCCACAACGGCGTGCTCAAAATGGTTTTCTACAAGCTCGCTGAAAACTTCAAAACGGAATTGAGCAGTGGCACTCTGACGCCGACGGACGTCATGCTCCAGGCGTGCGCTGCCAAGAACAGCCTCGTTCGTAGGTGTGGTTTTTCCGCTCAGTTCCTCGCTCTCGGAAACAACCATTTCTTCGACCAGATCGATGAGTGTGAGCCGCCACAGCTGCAGGCGTTCAGCACAGACGCCGCTGCCCACGCTCATGCCAGGTTGTCTCTCCGTCGTGCTGCTCAGGCTGTCGCTGTGCAGATCCAGACATGTTCCGAGCCTCGTGATCTCTTCAACTCCCGTCTTGCGGGCACCACTGGCCCTCTCGACTCGGGAACAGAAGTCGATTACATCGCAGATGACACCCCGAAGGCAAAAACAGCCGGAACAGCTTGGAAAGGACCTGCCGTAGTGCTCGGCATGGAAGGGGACCAGAAAGTGTGGCTCAGAACCCCCGATGGCAAAGCCATAGCTGTCCACAGGCACCGGGTACGACCAAAAGAAAACAGAGGGCTTTTGGAACTACGAGTGCAAGCGGGACCACAACTACAACCACCAGGGCCACCACAACAACCACCCGCACCAAAGCAAGAAGACAGTGCGCCACCAATAGCG